AACAAGCCTTACGGCTGATAACCAGACAAACAGGGGGTCGGAACGGAAACCCAAAAGAAAAGGGGAAACCAAACCGCCGAACCCTGCATCAACAACGAACAAGTACGGACGCTATTTTCCGCACTTGAGCCAACAACATCGGAAACGGACTAATTACCCCGACCAGGTGGTTGTTAGGAAGGGGATAGTACTAACCTCTAATTGAAGGCTACACTACATACTTAACGCTCCTAAGTATGAGGTGCTACTCTACATTAATGGGAATAGCTACTTCGAATTGGATGGACTCATAGCTACGGCAGTGCTCTACATATGACCTACTACCTCTGCTATACATAGTGGGGCTCAGGGGTCGATATATTTCAACTATGCTACAGTATAATCAAGAAACACATATAACATTTGTTCATATTATATTATGTTTTGTTTATATGATATACCATGCAAGACAACGTAATATATTAATAACATACAATGATATACAATATAATATACTAGAACTAATATAATAACAAATTAATATACTATGATATCATTACATACACATAATGAATGTAATGTAACAAAATATCAAACAATCTCATATTAGACACATATGATTAATGTCATACAATATCATATCATCATAATACAATACACATGTATCACGTACAAATAATCCGCATATAGCATACATAGGTGGAAACACATAATATATATATATATGTTTATTTTTTGAAAAAATACACACAGACCTCGAGGTTTGCCGAAGCCAGGAATAGCATAAATATTATGGAATTCTCTACGACGTCAAACAACGGGAAGGATTTTATGTTCAATTATGTTGCTAGAGTGTGAACCAGAACATGTTGCTTCTACATATCATATAGCCAGAACATGCCGCTTCTACATATCATGAGCAATTAACCATACAGTCATTAGGGTTTCTTATAGGGTTTCAAGAAGATATCAAAATCCACCCGGCCCCATAAAGCAATTAATCACTATTTATCATACAGTCATTAGGGTTTCTTATAGAATTTCAAAAAAATGTCAAATTCCTCTGGCCCCATGAAACAATTAACCATACAGTCCTTAGGGTTTCTTATAGGGTTTCAAGAAGATATCAAAGTCCCCCGGCTTCTTGGAACAATTAACCATACAGTCATTAGGGTTTCTTATATGGTTTCAAGAAGATATCAAAATCCACCCGGCCCCATAGAGCAATTAATCACTATTTATCATACAGTCATTAGGGTTTCTTATAGAATTTCAAAAAGATGTCAAAATCCTCTGGCCCCATGAAACAATTAACCATACAGTCATTAGGGTTTCTTATACGGTTTCAAGAAGATGACAAAATCCTCTGGCCCCATGAAGCAATTAAGCATACAGTCACTAGGGTTTCTTATAGAATGTCAAGAAGATGTCAAAATCATCATCATCATCATCATCATCTTGGCTTGCCCGGACGCTCGTTGCGAGTCCGGGCAAACCTCAGAGCCTCAGGCCGTAATATTATATCATACAATACACACATATAATCCATATAATACATATATAATCCATATAATACACATATAATCCATATAATACATATATAATCCATATAATACACATATAATCCATATAATACATATATAATCCGTATAAACCACATATGTTGGGGGTTCCTAAAATGGGAGGCTACCCCAACATCCCAACATCCAAGTCATTGGTTACCAAGTCAATGGGAAAAGCAATGGACTTTGGGGTACCTATATTTTAGGAAACCTCTATATAATATACATGTATATAATTATAAGAATCATAATAATGATAAATAATAATAATTATTATTATTGTTATTATTATTATTGTTATTATTATTATTAATTATTATTATTGTTATTATTATTATTATTATTGTTATATATACGTACATACACAGTAATTATATATATATGTTGTAACATCATATACATATAGCATTAGGTGGAAAGAAGATCAAATTTGCTGGTCCCAGGCCCCCGGGCATTGAGATGGACTGCACAAAAACTTTCGCAGCGAAATCGACCGCACTGACACACGCCTAAGACGTCTGGGTATCGCTGGGTGAACTGCTTGGAAACGCCATTTGCGCGGAAAATGGTGTTTTTTTTTTGGGATCAATGGTCATTCCAGGATCCCAAAACGGAGGTACGTTAGTACCATATTTCTGGCCATATTCTGGGGGTACATCCCCTTACATAGGCCTAAAAATAGGCCTCACATATGGTAGATACCTCCAATTTAGGTTCCTGAGATGGCCAGTGAATAGAGTGGTGATATTAGGAGGTTTCCTGAGTCATCAGGGTACCAAATCATTTATTTTAGATTGGGATTTTCGAAATAAAGCATCTATCTTTGGGGTACCCCCATTTCAGGAAACCTCCTCAAAATACCAGGAATATCAATTCTTTTGATGGGACATATGATTTCGGCTTCCCGCTCGGAAATGACCGACCAATTATCGACCATATTTTGGTGGCTTTTCCACGACGAAGTAAACGTTTAAGGATCATCCACGGGGAATTTGCCAATAGCGAATAGGCCCCTAAGTAGATCAGCTGACGGGCGAATTCTGAGGCTTTATGGCGGATATAGTACTCATATCATGGGGTGAAACTGGCCCTTCCACCTTCTATTGATCGGTTGGAATTTATCAAGCTAACTGGTTTGGGATTGACCAAGCTTTCATGGCTCATTTGAGTAATCATTGTAGATATATGGCATATCAGTATGGACATGGACGTTTCCTGGAAGGGTACCCCTTTGTCGCTGGATGGTTTTCATGGATTTTCTCCATCCATAAATGGATGATTTGAGGGTCGTATTTTAGGAAACCTCCACATAATCCATGAAACACACTGGTTGGATCATAACGGCATTCCCGGAATTTAAATTATCAGGATACCCATATATATATATATATACATATATACATATATATATATATAGGGTTGTCTAGCCCCCTTAACTAACCATCAACTGACAGAGGGTTTTGAACACTGCTCGATTAGGTTTGTCTGCAAGCTTTCATTTTCTGTGGAGTGTTGATTGGTATCTATATATGGAATAGGCTTGTTTGCACCAAATCAACAGTGGAAATATGTCTATGTGTTTGATTGGTATTTATATATATATATATATATATTAATATATCTACTAGTTGGTGGTTTTAACCATCTTGAAAAATATGAAAGTCAATTGGAAGGATGACATCTCATATATGAAATGGACAAGAAAATTCATGTTCCAAACCACCAACCAGTCTATCATTGTTGATTTCTATTTGTATCTGTTGATTGTTGATAGGAGACATCTAGTCATCAGGGTTTGTCAACGGGTCAAATCCAGAGGATTGTTGCAACATCTGTGCCATTTATACATTTTATACCGTACCCTCTGGTTATGTCTTAACATAGCTATTGAAAATGGTGATTTACTTCGCGGATTTATATACCCATTTAAAAAATGGTGGATCTTTCCATAGTATTTTGTAAACGTTTACCAGAGGGTAGCCCTTTCTTCGGCGCCACTTGGAATTGCCAGCTTCGATAAACAGTTAGGGCAGTAGTTGTGGTTTGCCAACAGTCGGAGATACATTTTTTCATCTTCATTTTGCAGGCTATGCACCAGCACTACAAATACGAAGATCGGGTTTCAAGGCAGGAATATATACAGTAGATTCGATAAATGGATCCAATCACAAAAAATAGTGTGAATAAATCACAAAAATTGGTATTCACTTAAATGACAGATATTGAAACCACCAGCCACACAGTTTCTGAGAAAGCATCAAGAGAAAGAAAATCATGGTCCCTCACGTACTAGAAAGGTCCCCAAATACAAATTGGTTTATAAATCCTCGTTAGAATTAGGGGGGAGGGGTTGGATATACCTCTGCGTAGTTACAAATCACTAGGGACCAACCACCAGTGTCTACAAGAAGCATTCACCTGCAAAAACCTTGGGACTACAAAAAGCTAGTGCCAACTCTAGGCACCATGCCAAGAACCGAGCTAAATCAGCTCTACAAAAAGGTTGCTCAACCCACATGGTTAACTTAAAAGAACCATCAATTATCCAGCTGGATTTTTCCCTATCCTTTTTGTAGAGGATTCTGTGCTCTCAGGAGGTTGGGTCCCCCCGAACTCTCAGCATTTTGTAGAGAAAGAAAGCTTTCATGTGGAAGTCCTTTTTTAACCCTCGTGTCGGCTACTTGTAGTGGCGCCATCCGCTTAATTAATCCTGATTATGTACAGCAGAACTTCTCTACTACAGTGACTTCTGGCCTTTGGCTCTCTCATTGAAACAGTGCAAGCAAATTTTCAGCTCTTTCATGCTATCTGCGTTCTCTTTCAACCTGCACTTTTTTTCAGGTGGTATGCAGACCCTGCCCGGCTAAGTGGAGCTCTCTACAAAAAGCTGGGTGCATTTTTACATGACGGAAAAACTGCTTCAAAATGACCTCTCTACAAAAAGCTAGTGCATCCAACATGATTGTTACATACCACTATGTGTCTACACTGTCTGGGGAACCAACCCCATTTTTCTGTATAAATCAGCTATTTTTGTCAGCCTTATACGTAACCCAAGCCCCCTCAAAACGAAGAGGAAATCCAAACGGGGATGTTTATAACATGTTAGGACCGCATGTAACTAAATGCACCATTCGCTATAGATCCTAGTATGATCCTAAGTGATAAGCCAACAGAAACCGACTTACCAATTCTTTGGGTGGATCACCCTGCAATTTTGATCTTGATTTGCGACAAATCATCGGAAAAGCATCCCCACAAGCACCGCTGGTTTCATTTTCCAACACTTCGAAAATCATGGCACCCAATTTGCAGTGGCAATGTCTTGGGGGTTGCCCCACATTTGCTGCGGTCAACCGAAGAAACACTCCCAACCGGATGAATCGGGATGAGCGCGGCCAGTCTTCCGCCCAGCGACCGTCAAAAAAAATCCTCTGAGATCATGTGACCACGCGTCCATCACCTGAGATGAAGCTGAAAAGACATCGGGAGGACCAACAGAAACTGGTCAACCAAGAGAAAATTCGGGTTAACCAGCAAAAAACTTAGGGGTTAACAAAAAAAACGGCTTAAGCAACAAAATCTTGGGGTTAACCAACAAAATGTTGGGGGTCAACCGGTTAATCAACACAAACTATAGCCAAAATTGGAGATTTAACCAAAGAGGATGTGGATCTAACTGAATCTAACTAGCAAAAATGGGGATACTCATCAACCAACATACCCTCTGATAAACATACAAAAAACTGTGGAAAATCACCATGTTTAATGGGAAAATCAACTATAAATGGTCATTTTCAATAGCTATGTTAAATTACCAGAGTGTATATGGAATTTGACCAATTCACCCAACACGTAAATTTCACCACCCACAATAGGATATAGGGATAATTATTGAAATATGTGTTTGGACCAACCAGAGGCATGGAGATCTCAACCAAGAGCAATCTTGACATTTTACCAGGCTTCACCCCAATGATAGAAAAGTTTGTTTTCAGTCAATAAGCAAGCGGAGACCAATCAAATCGATATTCAATAAAATATACTATATGTCGCACCGTCGCATTGCATCATATTAGGAAAAATATTTGTATGATTACAACAATCGCATTTGGCATTTGTATAGTTCGAGAGTGCCAATGCAGCTCTCCTGAAAGAAAATATTGTCACTATCCATTTCTTTGCTTTTTCGGAGCAGTGTTCTCTTTCCACTTGACTTACAGCAAAAGAAAGAGAGAAGGGTTGTCTGTTTTTTTTTTTCACTGAGTACTAGAAGATTTTCCTGGATTTATTCCATATACTCTATACACTTCAAAATTGATTTTGCACATTCTACAAATGAAGTGGATTTTCCTACACTTTCCCATTGAGCATCCCTTCAATGGCAGTCATTTCAGAGAACGTTTTCGGTGACATTTGTTGACTGACTTATGACCAGGCCATTTTCGGATGCATTGATTGATGCCTTCAAATATCTACAATATGGTTCCATTCCTCCGTTTCCATACTTATATTATTATGCTAGGATGCTTCGCAGTCGCGACACCAGGCAGCACTTTTTTTTGGACCTAGCTCGGGCAGCTCGAAGTTCAAAAGTTAGCGGAATATCTATGAATAAGTGCAACATCTTTGATGAATATCTATCCCTAAGGATCCATGTATGGAATATTTACCTACATTGGGATTATTTTAAATTACTTTAGGGGTCAATATAGGTAAATATTCCATACATGGATCCTCTGGGTATGACTATTCCATATCATTCCCAGTTGGATCAATATCTCAGCCGTGTTCCTCTGGATCTTTGCGGATCGTGCACTCGCAGTACAGGTACCACGGTGGCGAGCCGTGGTCTACCGCTTTTGAAGGGTAAATTCCCATCATCCCATGATATACCCTCTGGTTATGTGTTAGCCATGGAAAATCCCCATGCTATTAATAGATAAACCATCTATTTCGATTAGGGCCATCGAAAAACCATGGCGAACTGTAACAAATAACCAGAGGGTTTTTATGTTGGTGAATTATGGTTAATAATACTCATTTACATCCATTTACACCATACCCCAGAGGATCCATGTATGGAATATTTACCTACATTGACCCCTAAAGTAATTTAAAATAATCCCAATGTAGGTAAATATTCCATACATGGATCCTTAGGGTACCACATCACACCAAAAAATCTTCCCATGAGCCACCGTTTCGCCAGCGTTTCCCACGCCGCCCCGTTTCTTCACAGAACATTCTTCGACTCGAGTGGCGTGCTGCCAGAATAAGGTGCGGCGCTTTGCGTGGACGAAGTGGCTCCTGCACCGGACAGGGATAGCCCAACAGGGATAGGGATCAAAATGGCTACTGGTTGGTTATAAAATGGAGAAATCCTATGGAAATATATGGAAATCATGGGCTTTAACTATGGAATACTATGGATTTACCCGGCCTGGTAAACGTTTAGCGAACTGGAAAAACACCATGGGTAAATCAACTATAAATGGCAATTTTCAATAGCAAACTGTTAGTTGACCAGAGGGTATGTGGTGGATTTATTTTACATACTGGAGTCATAGTTGGATGGGTGAACATAAACCAACTCATGGTAGTGGGTAGCACTCATAAGTGGGGATAGTCCATATAGATCCAACCATCGACCGAGAATGCGCTTGCAACATGCATAAAATGGGGCCCCCTATGCTACGATAGGTTTCAGTTGGTTGAACTAACTTGGATAGCTGGGGTGAATTTCGTAGTTACAAGATGTTATAAGTTATAACCATAGGGTGAACACAAACGAAGTTACAACATCAAGATCCATATAACTGGGAATCGTATGGAATAGTCATCTCTAAAAAAAATATGATAGCGACTGTGGCACTTTTGCTCGAAACATCTTGAAACCAGAAAAACTACTCTCCCCCATATTAACACGTCGCCAAAATAGGCTAATTAAAGAAGATGAGTTTCGAATAGAAAATGTCTTTTTTTCAAGGGTCACATCAACCGGAGATGGCCATCTACCCGTTGGTAACAACTCTAGCTATGGCCTTTCGATGATCCATGATGATCCAGCTAACGATGATTTCACTGTTGGAAATGGTGATTTTCGATATGTTAAAGCTGTTAAATTACAAATGGGTATATTGGGTATAGTTACATTTCCCTCCTGGGACGTTCGCCCAAAGTTTCATTGGGGAGTTCAGTTAAGTTTGGGGATGGTTGAGATTTTCTTTGGGCTTTGTTTAGGGTTTGGTTGGTGAATTTTCTTGCTATTTAGGGTTCTTTTTTGTTGATTTAGGGTTGGTTTAGGGTTTGTTCAGGGTTATTTAGGGTTGCTTTAGGGTTGGTTTAGGGCTTGTTTAGGGTTTATTTGGGGTTTATTTAGGGTTAGGTTATTTGGGTGTTCTGTTTTCTTTCAAAATATCGCGATTTGTTGAGGTGTCAGGTGATGGCTCGAAACACCGCAAATTTTGGAGGATATCTTCAAGATACGCTTCAAAAGGATTCAAAAGGTGATTTTGGCACCGTCTTAGATAAGCGCAAAAATTGCATGAGACGCAGGCAATATCAATATTTTGCATGCTCTCACTGTGCGAAAAACACGCACGGAAACAACCCAGCAGATTGCAGTCCCGCTGGGAATTCTGTAGATTTTGGGCAAACGTCAGCCCCCTAGCGTTACATTTATAGTTCCATGGGGTATCATAAATCAATGAGAATATATATATATACACAATATGTATATATACATATATATATAGGAGGACCCTTCTTGAATGGCGCAGGGATCTTTACATCCGGACATCAATAGGTCGACATGAAAAAACTGGTGAATCTCGGAGTTCTTGCAGTTTGAGCTGCGCAGGTACGGTGGTACCCCCAATCAAAAGTGTGTTTGGCTTCCATCCCTACCCGGCCTGGTAAACATACAAAAAACTATGGAAAATCACCATGTTTCATGGGTAAATCAACTATTTCTATGGCCATTTTCAATAGCTACGTTAAATTACCAGAGGGTATATTGAATGATATCAAATACAGGAACTATATAGATATATGGACTATATGGAGGTGTCCTAAAATAGGCATCCCCCAAATCATCCATGGATAGATGGATGTTATTCGAAAAAAAAAACATCCAGCGATAAAGGGGTACGCCCATGACTATCGAAACCCCCATATCTACCATGGTAAACCCAGCTCTGGCGGGTCGACCAGAAAAACCCTGGCGTGTGATATTGGCTTCCCCTCTGGTTTTTGAACATAGCTGACATAGCTAAACTAGTTGGTGGTTTTAACCATCTTGAAAAATATGAGTTCGCCAATGGGAAGGATTATCCCATATATGGAAAAATTAAAAATATTCCAAACCACCGACCGGTAATCTATAGATGGCCCCATAAATTTCGTTGATTTATGATGATTTGTCTAAAATGGAGATTTTCCAGAGCTACCTTCATTAACCAGAGGGTAACCATATGGAGACGATTAAGGGTTAACAGCCTGCACCTGAGCGAAAAAAACAGCATCCCGATGCACGTGGAGATCATCTTTCTTGGGACCGCTTCACTGATCTTCACTGGACTCACGAGATGGGCCGTTCGCCGTACGAACTCATGATTCGAATTCGCCTCCATGATTTACCTATTTTCATAGCATTTAATAGCATGGTTAGCATGGTGATTTTCCAGTTCCCTACATTAAATAACCAAAGGAGCCCGGCCAGTCCTTGGCCTTCGGCGATGACTGACAAGATCGGACCTACAGTTAGCATTGGGAGATTACGCGCATGTAAAACCAACTGATGGACACCACTGTGGGTAATGATAGTTAATCTATGGTTGATATTAATGGTTATGATGATGGTTTTCATGATGGCTAATAATAATCTGGTTGGTGGTTTCAACCTACCCCTCTGAAAAATATGAGTGAAAGTCAGTTGGGATGATGACATTCCCAATATGATGGGAAAATAAAAGTCATGTTCCAAACCACCAACCTATATATATATATATGGGTGTGTCTGGAAATGGGGATACCGGGATACCCCAAAATGGGTGGTTTATAGTAGAAGATCGTATAAAATGGATGATGTAGGGGTACCCCCTCTTTAGGAAACCTCCATATACAGGTATGGGTGTGTCAGTTAAAGTTATGGCCATGAAATATACCACAGGGAAAATGAGCAAGCATCAAATTGCCGGAGATTTTTTCCAAACAAGACTATAATATATTATCATGGAATGGGTTGTAACCCAGTCACTGAACCAATTGCTGTACCTAGCATTGCATTATTCATGGGTTATAACTAACTCACAACTCAGCCCAGTTAACTATATGTACTTCAATTAACTAATTCCAATGTCGAATGGACATGGTCCCCCATTAGGCAGTTAACCCCCATTGAAGGATCCGGGATCATTACCTGTGCTATCCAAAATGGACGCGGGGCAAAAAAAAAACAATCTGTAATCTGTTTAATCCAAACTTGGGCCAGAAATATATCCTATCAAATCTGCTACATATACATATACAATCATATATATATAATTATATATATATACATACACATGTACAGTATATAGATGTGCTGTATAATGTTTCTCTTTTTCTGCGGGGCTGGGGGCTGGAAATTGCATTCCTAGTTTGTTCATGTTTGTTCATATGTTTTCTTTGTCACAAATACAATTGAGCTGTTGAACTAGTATTCACCAAGGTTTGCACTTGCAAAATTAATTCCACAGGGCTCTCCCCTCTCGCATATGAGGCCGGACCCGACGTTTGGGTGCTAATTGCCCCAAAATCCAAATCTTAAGAGGAAACACACGTTCAAAGAGAGAGAGAGAGAGAGATAGATAGATATATATATATTATATTACGTGTTTTAGTTGGTGTCCATACTCCTTCATGGCTTTTCACCATGGGTTTTCCAAAACGCTCCGCTTTCCAAAATGGCCAACCGCTTAAAAAATCCGCGCTGACTTTCGACACGCCAAGACACTCACGGATGGACCTTCCGCACCTGGTGGGTTTTTTGTGCCACCAACATTCCCCAGCTTCGACTCGGATCAGGAGGTGGGTCATTGACCCATAACATGGAGAGTCCATGGTAAAACAACGTCACCACACACGGAATTTCTCACATGTGAAAGAAGATAGCATGGTGAGTGTTTTGATAAACGGACCACACATTCACAGAATCATCCCCTTTTCACAGAAAGAAGAACATGGCTAGAAAATGTGTCATTGGTCTCACAACTGAGCAGTGTTCAATTCAAAAGCCTCTGTCATTCCATGAAGTAATCAGTGAAGAACGGGATTCCCTGGGATTCACTGGAAGATAAATGTGGATCATCAAGCAATATTTGGGATCATACCAAATAGTACTATATATATATATACATATACATATATATGATTCAATGGATTGGTTTAAGGGAGTATCTACAGGAAAAAAAGATGGTTTTCACCAAATATAGGTGTGTCCTGCAATTGTGTCCCTATTTCAATCCGCGAAAGGTTATAATGTCAGTAAAGCAATACTGGTTATCATCCATAGTTTGATATGTTTGATAATTTATACCACCCATACCACATTGCTTTGCTGACATTTCTAGCTAGTAATATCACAGTCGTCAACCAATAAGTCATTTACGAACAAGGGTTCACTCTAACCAATCAGTTATTATAACAAGGTAGCTCCTTTTGTTATGCCAACCTTACCATTGTTGTGATATGAAGGGTTCTTAAAAATGGGGGGATCCCAAAGTCACCATAGGTTTCAATACAAAGTCATGGTCATCCATGACGACTGGATGATTTGGGGTACCCCCCATGACAAAATGGAAACCTCGATATATCATCAACATGGCTTTGAATCAAGCCCATTCATAGACATATAATATATATATAATGTATATATATATATATAATGTATTTCTATTAGGTATGTATATATAATATATATGTCATGATATATAATTATATATATATATATTTAATATATATATATATACTATACATCTATCATAAACCATAGGAAAACATGGAAAAAACATAGGAAACTCATTGTTGGTTTCAACTTGCCAAGTCATCCAACCAGCTTTAGCGCCGCTCCAGGGGGCCTCCTCCACCATGTGCCGGCGCGGCCGGCTTGTTCCGGAGGGAATACAACAGCCTCGCTGGCGCGATTTCGGAAAAGGGGTCGACAAAAATCAAGGGGAAGGGAAACATAGAAATGGCAGTTGCAAAGTTAGAGCTAAGTTTTAGCTAATTTGATATATGGGTGGTTCCATAGATGGAGGTACCCAAAATGGATGGTTTATAAGGGAAAATCCTACTAACATTGATGATTGGGGGTACCCCTATTTCAGAAAACCCGCATATAACCAATATCTAATTAACTATCAATGCGGCCCTATGTTTGTTGCTTTACAAAGCCATTGAAAAAAAACATACTTTTAGACTTTTAGCTTCCATAAACCGGAGTTAGCCTCGTTCTAGAAGAACTTGCCTATCCTGGCCCATAGACAAAATTGAATCTACCTGGAGGATCAGCCCACTGGTTTGTCACTGAAGTTACCCTCTGGTAATTTAACGTAGCTATTGAAAATGGCCATTAATAATCATTAATAGTGGATTTTCCCATTAAAAATGGTGGATCTTTCCATAGCAACGTTAGTCATTACCAGAGGGTAGTCCATCCATCAAAATTCCTGGGATCACCGGATCCGGAAAATCGATGAAAATCGGGGGCTCAACATGTTTTGCTGCCGAAACTGGCAGCGGGCGGGGGAAAAGCACCTGCTTAAAACTGGCAATTACAACCATAAGTTGGGATGTGGAGCCCCTATATATATATGCATACATATCCCATCAGTAACATCAGTATTCATCTGGTTGATGTATACATACAACTACAACTATAAATTATATTCATCTGATATTAATCCTGAACTGTAGTTGTGGTCGACCCCTGCCATCTACAGCAGCCGATTGGCGTCACCCGACTCTCTGACACTAAGCATTTCTAGCGATGTTGATTTTGTCCCAATTTATCTGAACGCTTCAAGGAGCTATGATTTAAGGAATGTTGAACTTTGTATCTTTTCTTATCTCAGATATCTTGAACACAACAGTTGTGTCTATCGTGATTTTTAGCTGGTCGATCTAATTCTCCCATTTCTGACCAAAGAAAAACATGGGTTTGCTGTCAATACCGGGATCATATCCCAGAAGTTAGTGACTGAGAGGTGTAAGTGTTACATGTTTCAAGAATTTACATATGTGCCATGGTCAAGTTACGTGGGATTAACGAAAAAAAAAACGTTGGAAATAAAACAATCCAATTGAACATGGATTGATGACCATCCCATCCAATCCCCCAATATGATAATATGTGATAATATGGGTACCCTCTGGTAAACATACAAAAAACTATGGAAAGATCCACCATTTTTAATGGGAAAACTCACTATTTCTATGGCCATTTTCAATAGCTATTTTGACATAACCAGAGGGTAATATATTCGAAGTTTTGACCATGGCACTTGTTCTCAAACTGAGCCAGGAATTACTGTACGCGCAATTTTGCTGCTGTCCTTAGATAATCCCGAACCAAACACTTGCACTTCCACAACCTTTCCAAAATGAATGTTTGGCCACAACCTTTCATGGGTTTGGTATCTGAACATGGTGTATTTACCAACATGTCAAGGTTCATCTGACCCATCAAATTGGGGGGTCCCCGATTTTCAGGCAAACCCATACTCATCCCTTATTTGCAACATATCGGTATGGGTTGAACATGGGGTAGGAGTGCACCTCCATTCTTGCTACTACATGATACTACATCATCCATCTTGGAAGGTTTTTATTGTTTTGTTTTGTCGGTTGAATCCTGCTTTAGCTTTTATAAATGAAAATGTTTTTCGGTGAATTCATGATATTGCCAGGATTTGTCGATGTTTTCCCAAAGAGGTTGCTATCTTGTTGAAGAAATCATCATATGTTCTTCCCTAAATTCAACATGGAAACCAAACAATACGGTCATTTCTTCAACAGAAAATCATAGGTTCCCCAGTTTTCTGGGAGGTCATATTGAATAAATCGGCTGGGTTTTCCTCAGAAAATCCATCTTTGCGAAGAGTTGCTCCAACATCTCAGCGGGAGGGAGACGATTGTAAAGCCGGTCCTGCCATTGGAAAGTGCCGTGCACAACTGGTGATTTAACGGCACCCAGTAACGGAAGCCATTGGAAAATGGTGATTTTTCACCCAACTAAAAAGGAAGGAACGCAGGGGATTTATAGCTGATTTATCATAGCGTTGAGGCTTTTTTGTCATTTGGTTAACTAGGGTTGATTAGGGGGCGGGGGATATAACAGAAGGGGCAGTTCAATAGTTGAACTGACTTCTTGAACTGACTTCTATCTGGGGGGCTTCACCTTGTCCTCTATTTTTACTTCAAAATGTGGACCGCTGATGTTGCCGGAATGTGCATCACCATTTACCCGGGAAGCTTTCCCTACTGGACCCGCCGTACATCAACAACGGGAGAAAGTCGCGTCAATTGTTTTGACCCATGAAACTCCACATGATTCCCGTCATATGTCTTAAGAGCGGTTTTCATTACATCAACTGTTGTAGTTACTGTGGGGCAACATCATAGTGGGCATACATTTGAGTCAAAACCCTGGCACCCTGGGAAATTACCCTAGAATAGCTGGCTACTGGACGTTTATTCCCCCAAACATGGTAATAATAGGTTTTGACCATCCCCATATTTCCGTGTTAGATTTCACGGGCTTGTTGAAGTGGAACTCATTTGATCTCAAACACTGGGACCGTGGGTGTTTCCATAAATGGGAGAATCCCAAAATGCATGGTTTATTTCATGGAAAATCCATCCATAAATGGATGATTTCGGGGTACCCCCATTTTGGGAAACTTCCATCTTATGTCTTTTCCTTCATGCCTGTGAAACTTCTTTGGCAACCTTGCGAAATGCAGGCTGCGATTGGAATCGCCCTGCCATAGATCTCGGCCCTTCGTCTTGCAGTGCCCATGAGGCTGGTAGCAACTGTGGTTGGCGCAGCCAATCACGTCGTGGTCGTGCTCCTGTCTGGCACATCTTCAGCACCTTCTGTAGCAAGGTTTTCTTGTTCTGGGTCAGGCTCATCAGCAAGCCCCCCAAACATAAGTTGCTTTCGGTTTACCTATCTAGCTATGGTTATAAGTACCATAAACTCTAGTCAACCTAGATACAAACCAACTTACCTACGTATCTTGGGGGGCCCTCTAATAAACCTCTAACTTTGAATAGTGTATAGCACCATTCCAGATCAAAAGAAGGCAGTTTTTCTTTCTGAATGTGCCACATTACCCACCCCAGCCAGCCACCAGCCAGCCACGCAATCCACCACCCAGAAGGGACGATGAAAAGGAAAAAAAACTGGGGACGCTCAACACCCCCAAAATCTATCAAAATCTGCTATGTTATATAGGCATATATAGGCTTTATCTGGGTAAATCATAGTAATGCACTGCCCATTCCGTGCTATTTGGGATTTATTTGGTAATTATTTCCCCTTCACAAAATGTCCATTTCAATCCATTTCATGCTATTTAAGGATCAAATTTGGGAATTATTTCCCCATACCAAATCATCATTATTCCGTGGTTAGCAGATCGCTTCCAGCGCCACCAGGAAAGCCGCGTGGCTCCTCTTTGTCACGGCTGATGCGGCTAGGCATGGATGATGAGCGATGGGATGAGGTTCCTGAGTTGAGGGAATTCCTGGGGATTTTACGATGATTTAACCATTGAAATAGAGATTTTAAACATACGGTATTTAACATTATTTAACTATTGAAATAGGAATTCACTCAGAATTGGAGATGTTTTTTAATCATGATTGAACTGTTGAACTGTTGGGATTTTCTAGGGATTTTCTCAGGGATTCAACCATTTGAACTTACGAATACTTAAACACATTTAATCTATATAATATTATATAATATTATATAATTATATAACCCATGTTGAAGATTGTTGAAGCGTATTCCATCAATTTATGAGATTTACCATAGGAATCTACATGAATCTAAGTACTGAAATAGGGATTCCAGGGATTTAACATGTTTTACCCAGTGAAATAGGTATTTAACCATTGAAATAGTTTGAATTTATCGTGTTTTCTCTTTTTTGGTGCTCAAAAAATCGCTTAACCATATTTCACCACCAAAACACAGCAATCTATGGAGATCTTTTTGCACATGTTTTTTTCGGTGAACTCGTGAGGAAATGATGGACTGAGTTCGTCAGTTGGGATGATGAAATACATTCCCTTTTCTGAATGGAAAGTCATTCAAAATTCCATGGTTCCAGTCACCACCAATCAGACTTGAAGTGTGATTGAAAATCACTGAAACATGGTTTCGTTTAGGGGGTGTTTGATTTTTTCACGGGAAAGGGAGTAGCCATAATTTTTCCTTGGCCCCATCTCCCAACTACGAGTGAACTCAACGGTGAGGCCACTGAACGGTAGGCTTGAGGTGTTTGCAAGCCAATTACTACTATAGGAGATATAATTGGGTCGTTTTATCCTAGGATATATAGTGATTGGATATTTAATGATTGGATATATAATGATTGGATATAAAATGATTGGATATAATTGTAATTGTGGGTTCCTATAATTAGGATATATATATATATAATTGGGGGTTCCCATAATTAGGATATATATAATTGGGGGTTCCTGAAATAGGGGTACCCCCCGAATAATCCGTTCTAATAGGATTTTCTATTATAGACCATCCAGCTATTGAGGTACCCCCATGTATGAAAACCTCCGAATTAGGATGGATGCGTTGACAAATCAACAAACATAACATAACATAAGTGTAACTTGGGTGGTCGCACCTTGGACGTACATATCTGGACGAAGTGACATGGTAAGTGGGTCAAGACGGGCCCAAGACGCCCGTCTGGTTAGATCTGCGTTGTTTCACCGCAATCAACTTCAAAAAAGGCTGGGCCAACATGGGCCAACTATAACCATTTCATAAATCAGAAGTATGGGGTGGAATTGTCTTATCAACCAGTCAATACAACAAATTTGGGGAAATTATGCATGATTTCCCTTACTATCCCGACTCTGTGCATGAATTCTGCTCGGCCGTTGAGGTCGGATGATGAAATTTTCATCCAATCCAATGTCAAAAACTGCCAATTACCAACATGTACCAACATGTGGCAACATTTACCCACGATATTACTGGCAGAAGTACTATTTCTATATACTTCATGATACGAGTAGTATCCTGAAAATAGCTCCTATCACATGGCCACTTAAAAAAATGAATTCCCCTTACTCATTCCGACGCGACGTCCGTCACGACGTGATTGGCCCACCTTGTAGGGAAATGGCATTGTTGAACTCTTATTTCATCGTGATATCACCATAGTTGCCGGAACTGATCCTCTAACATAAATTTTAATATATGTTAATGGTGATGTATGATGATATGAAAATAGTTCATGATAGTTATCACCATAGCTATCAATCCATCTATATGAACATATCACCATAGTTGTTTCATGAATGATATGGCATAACAACTAACATTGCAAAAATCAGTCTATTGCTTATATTGCTTTAAAAAAAACGAAACTAACATGGGAGCCATCATGGGCATTATAACAAAATATAACAAATATCCGGGTAAATTATAATATTTCACTCACCGGAAATGTTGAGCCATGAATGGGGATGATTTCCCTAAAATTAACCATGATGAACCAGGCTTCGGGAGAACAGGCTTCGGTCGTGATCAAAATTTGCTGCAACGCCTTGGATCTATAGATGATTTACCATGATTTACCTATTCATAGCATGGTGATTTCCCAGTTTGCTACGTTAAATACCATTTGGATATGACTAACATAGCCACGGTATAGATGGCCCATAGAAATAGATGTTTTGCCTATTAATAGCATGGTGATTTTCTATGGCTATGTAACAAATACCCAGAAATATCACCAGAGGGTTACCCATATAAAGCAACATTGACCATAGCGGTTCACTGTGATTCACTTGGCCACCAAGCCATCGCAGTTCCAATCGTCCTCCTCCTCATCACTGTCCTGCGGAAGCGCGGAACACCGCGCGGAACCGCACCGCACGTGAATGCGATGATTCAGACGGGTGGCTGGGAAAAGCCAAACGGAAAATGGGGATTCAACGTGGATATCATACCCATAGGATCCATGTATGGTATATATGCTAACATTTGGGGTATATTGATGGTAAATGTTACCATATATAGCATACATGGATCCTATAGGATATGAATGAAGATAGAAAATTGGAGAGATACTAGGAATATTAAGGGGATTGATTCTCTGGGATATCCCCATTAAATATCCACATTTAGTGGATCTAAATGGGATACTGATGGGATACTAATCATCCACATGGGAAAAGGATGATTTAGGATAGATTTGCTGGGATAGCCTTGGGCATACCTTTAGGCATGTGCTTTTCACCGGAATTTTCCTGGGAAAATGAGCTGCCAATGGTGGGTTGTCCATATCTCGAAATATCGTGGTACCATTAAGGCTTGGAGGTGGTATACCTACCCCTCTGAAAAATATGAAAGTTGCTTGGGATGATGAAATTCCCAATATATGGGAACAATGAAAAATGTTCCAAACCACCAACCAGATTATGTACGATTGGTATCTCACAAAAATTGTTAATGCTCAGTACAAGGCACACGAAACCATATGAGTTAATAAAATAGTTGATTATGCGGCAAATGAAGTCCAAAAAACTATGGATAGCTATGGACAGCTATGGATAGCTATATGGTAAAAACCATGCTCGACGGCCCCAAAATATGTTGACACCGGCACAAGTTTCTTTGCTACTTCCATCTACTTCCTGCGCTTCCGTGCCTCCACGTGCAGGAAGGAATTCTTCACAAACAACTTGTGGGAAGTTTCCCAATCTCAGCGGCAGGAGTGGTTTTCATTTGTTGCTGTATCCACCTCATGAAATGAGATATATTCGACATGAAGGAACATTGCATTATCAACCTTTTAGCGCTGGGATCTGAAATGTGACATGAAAAAAACCTATTTTACGTTTGCGCTAGGAGTTTTTTTATACCGGGACAACATGTCAGATGTGTTGTTTTTTTTTAAGGATTTGGTTGGGGGCTACGAAGAAAAGGATGCAGAACTTCATCACAGGGTTTGCGGGCTTATTTGGTGTGTCACGCTGCAATGGATCATGAGGTTGTGCTTAAAATCAACCTAAACCTTAAATAACAATATCCTATAATATCCTTAAAGATTGCAAAAGCCCAAACCATCCTTTATTTATTTTTGAAGCCTCCTTTTCTTCCCGGGTTGCTTGTTTGAGGTATAGGGTCTTCCACCTCTTAGAACTATTCCCCCCACAGCCCACATTTGAGGGATGTCAACATGAGGGATGGCTGTACCGTATCATGAATCAATAAACAGATATCATGAATCAATAAACAGATATACAGATATCATGGGTAGATATGGTACCTATATGAATCAAATAGGTACCTGTTTAAATTCACCTATGACCATATGATTGCCGATGACAGAGCTATGACAGGTAGCTTGGAGAAGCCCTTTTTTCGGGCCATGGAAAATGATCCGCTAAAAAGTGCGGCTCCAGTGCTATGAAAATATCTATTAATGCTATACTGGGCCCAGAAAGGCCATGAAGTTAGTTAACTAGCTACTGTGGTAATTCTATGTGATTGGACTATATATATATGTATATGTATATATAAGTATGTATATATATAGAGAGAGAGAGAGTGCTTGAGAGTAGCACCAAAAAGAAATAGAAAAGCAAAAAACATCACTCTCTGATGGGATTCTACTGTTCTATATTTTTTTGGATTCTAATAAAACCAACAGAACTGAGTAAAAAAAAATTGAGCACAGCCACCATGTTTTTTTACGGATAAGTAGCCTCTAGGTTTATCTGAAAACGCGGTATATCACCCAATTTTTAAGGCAATGGTATGAGGAAAAAGACGGCAAAATGATGAGTAAGCATGATTGACCATGAAATGCTGGTTGGTGGTTGAGCCCACCCCTCTGAAAAATATGACTTCGTCAGTTGGGATCATGAAATTCCCAATATGATGGGAAAGTCATGAAATTCCATGGTTCCAGTCACCACCAACCAGATATAAAGTATATAAATCGCAACTGATATAACCCATGATAACCCTATATGGCAATTTATAATCATATCCCATAACACTATATGGAACCAGCATGATTCCCCTCCAGTGTCATCAACCGTGGGTGGATGTTCCAGCCGGATGTTCCACTGGATGTTGGTGGTGTCAACCCCCTGGAAACTGATCGAGATTCTCCTGGTCATAGCAAATATGCCTAAAAAAAAACCGATTGAAATCAACATCATCGAAGTCAGACCAAGCAGTTTTCATTGCTATCATCTAGGTAAATTATAATAATTCACTAACCTGAATTAAGCCCATTTGGGGATGATTTCCCTTATTAGCCATGATTTCCAGGGCTCGGTCGCGACGTGAGGTCGTGATGAAATTTACCCAGACGGTATCACCCATCACATTTGGAGGCTGATTTCTCAGCACCCGAGATTCCCCCGGCTCCCGTGGCTCCCGAGCTGTTTCTGGCATGGGCCGGAGGCTTGGGCCTAGGATGAAATAGGATCGGTCCACGAAAAAAAAACCGGACGATGGTGAGTTACTTATAATAAATATATATATATATACATAGAACATAATCCATGGAATAACTATATATATATTATATATATATCCTATATACAATTAATTCATATATACAATTATATACATGGATCCATGAAAAAGAATCCATGGAGCCATCTATACATAATCCATTGTAATATATTGTTTATATTTGTTTGTCACTTACCCTTTGGTTATTTATGTTATTTAACATAGCCATGGAAAATCACCATTTTTAATAGGTAAACCATCTATAAATGGGCCATTTCCCATGGCAAACTGTTAAATAACCAGAGGGCATATTACCCCCAAAAATTGCAGGAATCTGATCATCACAGGTTCCCAAGGTTCCCAATCAAGGCACATCGACATCATCGACTCGTGCACCTGTGTCGGCGATGTGGCGCTAGTTGACAACAATAAGGGGTCTATTGCTGACTTCAGCTTGAATCATGGGGATTTATACTCATGAACATGAGGTATATGGGTATGGGTCAAAATTAGGTACCCCAATAATTGGATGGTTAATACTAAACTAGACTAACATCTGTGGTCCCCTAGGTCTTCAATTTTTACCTACATCCATATGTGTTTTTGTCAGAGCGGGAAAAATTTGATTCTTCGGGGGACCAATTTGTCAGATAAGATCATCACGGCAAGAAAATTGGGGATGCAACCCGCTGGAACAGGGAGTTGATCTACTTTGCGATGAGCATTCCGCTCTAACCTCAATGGTGGTTGATATCGCTTTGGATAGTTTTCACAAAGTACTATGGTGATTATATCATGATATATCGTTGTTTAGGACTTTGACTTTAAAGTAGTAATTCGCTGATATACAACAAGAAACTAGACTTTGAAGACGCAGAAAATCAGTGATACAACTGCAACATAGTCCAACAATGTCCTGATTTTTGACACACCCCCGGACAAATGACATGCTGAAATCGTAGTCATCGAGGACCGTGATCCCATGTGGTTAAACTTAAACCAGTTGACACATGTTGAAACCATCAACAAACATGAAAAAATGGTTGGTTATATCTCCCATTATATCAGAATATGCTGGAAGAATTCCTGCACCAGTTGGCACATGGTTTATCCGGGTTTTTCCCATGATAGCAAATCATAGTCGCATTATTTGCAGTGTTTCACAGTTACCCAAGAGTTACCAACTGGTGCAGATTTCGTCCATCCATAGTATCCCACAATAAAGCCCCATGGTCTGACCAAGTCGAGGTGAGTGACATCCCAAAAACTCTTGATGCTTAAAATATCTCTAAAATCGCTCGTGTTGACTGGTTACTTGGAGAATCATCACATCGTACAGATAACTGGTGAATAGCCCTGGTGATGCTAAGTCCCTATTCAGTAGTTTATTCCATAGTTGTTTAGGTTGTAACTGGGGTTCTTAAGCAGTGACGCTTCGATCATCTAACATAGCTTCTTGGAAAATCCGGCCATCTTTGATGACAACAAAGGGTACTAAGTGGGATGATCCTCCAAGCAGCAAACATGTTCATACATTTTGATTCCCAAATTCTGAAATATCCCACTATATCATATTATTATATCACCACTTATTGAATATACTGTGTATATATATATATATATATATATATATTTTTTGTTATTGGTAGTATAGCTATGTATAATATGTATACATGTATATAAGTATGTCTATGTGTATATATATATATGGTTCCGAATATGTTCACATGTATTAAAACATGTATATATATATATGTATATATCCTTGGATATATATATATATATATACATATATATAATATATATGTGTACATACATACCTACAGCTTCCATGTGGTACTTTTTTCCGCCGTTGCTCCAAACGGCAGACAGTTAGTCGTTCTTGTAAAGAAGAGTATTTCTTGCAAGAAAAAAGGTTGTGGGGGGTTTGGGGGTTGGGTACCATCGAATTCAGGGGGCTGATGGCCGGAGGACGGGATCATAAATATATACTATGAGGGTAGTAGAATGTTAACATATGCCTCTTTAAGGGTTTCCAGAACCGGGTCTCATGCGCAATTGCCTCCGCGGGCCAAACACATAGCAAGGTCAGTGCACTACAGATCAGGCATGATTAGCGCAATCCTTCGGGCCGAGGTCTGTCTGGCACGCCGCGAAACCAACAAAATCAATTTCGTGCCCTGCCAATGAGCGGACATCATGGACGCCCAGTCCTTTCCTGGCCGCTCACTGTGGCATGCCCTGCCACTACGCGGATGCTGCGGACGCCCAGTCCAACTGCGTGGACGCTTCGGACGCCCAGCCCATGCCTGCGGACGCCTCCTTCGGGCACGCCCTGCCACTGCGCGGATGCTGCGGCCACCGTTTGAGCCTTACTAAGTTAAATGCAACGGGAACGGCGGGAGGGTGAGGGAGGAGGAAGGGGCGGAAAGGGCGCCAGAGTGATTTTGGAGGAAAGCGTTGTATCACGGAATTTGCCCAAACGGGGCGCCTTGGCTTGACATGATGCTCGGAACCTAGCCCTGGAAATGGGACCGCTTAACTGGACCAAAACAACCTTCCACGCCATGTCCCCTCATTGTGAAACCAGTATCTTCGCAACCAAGCGCAAAAAAGCATTGAATAATTAGCGTCACTTGCCGCCGTCCAGCGCGCACTTTACGGACAGGCGGGCGCCCAGACCATGGGCCCAAAAATGGGGCTACGAATTTGGAGGCCGGGCTACTAAATCTTGAATTGCGGCACCATTTCTGTGTCCGGAATCTAGCCCTCTTTTTGGGGTCGCGAAACGCACACATGAGCTGCTACATTGAGCTCCGTATAGGCAGTAAGGAGAGATACGCTGGTACATGTGCTGACGCCAATGCAGGCTGGCAATCCATGATACTGTATATATATATACTGTATATAAATTATTATATTATTATATTATATCATATATATTATATTCTATATATTGTCTATACATATATATATATATATTTTTTTGAAATATCATGAATATATCATTGGTGAACCCAAAGCGCCTGCGCCGCAGGCACCAGGCTAGTGGCTGGCATCATCATCATGGGATCCTGCAAACCTGGCGCAAACCAAAACCCTTGAGAAAATCATCGGTTTCGATAAGATTTCTAGCTGATTTCTAGCTGAATCATAGGAAAATGAATGGGACATACTAATGGGAAAATGAATGGACATCACCTAATTTATGGAAAAATGGTGATTAAACCCAGAAAAAATATGGAGTTCATGGGATTTATAGTTGGTTCGTACTAAAAGCTGATTTATTGCTAGCTGAAATCATAAGAAATAAGAACATATCGGAAAATGACCTAGAAATGGGTAGGTCATGACGAAATCATGGGAACATCATTGACAAACATAGGGATAAAACACAAAAGAATACATTGTTCGATGGGGGATTTCGCTAGGAACAACGGTGAATTTTCATGGGTATATTAAATGGTAATAAATTGGTAATATTTCAGCATCATCATATGAGGTCACAATCATTTTAAGCTATATGTCATAACATTGTGTATATATATATATATATGGAAATGAAAGGACGGCCAGAATGGTTTCGGAAAGCGGCCTGTCAAAAACAAAAAAATCATTTTGACAGTTCAGCCAGAAAAATTGTTACCCTCTGGTAATTTAACATAGCTATTGAAAATTGTCAGTTATAGTCAATCCACATGGTAAAAAAAATGTGAGTTTCCATAGTTATGTTAGTTTACCAGAGGGTAAGCCCAACAGAGATCGTGATTTCACTGGTTTCAACCAGCCAAGGGTGAAGATGTTGCACTGATACGTGGGGATCTTCGGGCATGGGCCCAATGGGGATGTTTCACCAACAGTCTGGGGCTGGCTCAAAAACCGCCATTCGATACCAAGACATCTTTCTTCAATGGAATCAGCCAACTTTTCTAGGCGTACCGTTTAATTTGAATATGGTGGTGACAAAAGAAATAAACACATGATTCATGTGGGTACAACAATGTCATAAACCACCCATGACTGGGAATGGTAAACATACCACCTATTTATGGTGATTTGGGGGATGGTTTACCCTCTGGTAATTTGTTACATAGCTATTGAGAACGGCCATAGAAATAGTTGTTGATTTACCCATGAATAGCATGGTGATTTTCCATAGTTATGTTAGTTTACCAGAGAGTATGACATTGTTTTATCCACATTAGTCTAGAATCTGGGCTTCAAAAGTTGAGGTCCAAAGAAAGAGATCCAGGTCATCTTTTGCGCAGTCGACGTCGGCATCCAGAGATATCAATTTTAAGTGGAACTGGGAATGCAGCCCATGGTAGGTTTAAAAAATCTCCAAAGATATCCAAAGATATCAAAAAACCATGTTTAAAAATGCTAAGGATGATATATTAGCATATTATATTTAAACTAATATATATAATATAATATAATATAATACAATATAATATAATATAATAAAATATAATATTATATAATATAATATAATATAATATAATATAATATATAATGTAATATGAAATGATATGAAATGATATGATATGATACAATATAATGCAATATAATGTGATGTGATATCATATAATATGGGATAATAGGATCATTAATTATAATATAATATAACATAGTATAATATAATTTAATATAATGTAGTATAAATTATATCCAGATGGATAAATTGAGATCCAGAAGCAGCCCGGGGTCCAAAGAGTCGCAAGATGTCGCAAGCCAGGTGGAATTTCCCGGTTGCCTAATCCTGTTCCCGGTTCATATGAAACACCCCCCCCAAAAAAAAAACATAGTTGCTTCATGAATGATATGGCATAACAACTAACATGGCAAATATATGATGATATTGCTATGAAAAAAATAGGCGCCATCATGGGCATTACAGCAAAATATAACAAAATATCTGTGCACATTATAATAATTCACTAGCCTGAAATGTTGGATGAATGGGGATGATTCCTCTTAACCATGATGAACCAGGCTTCGGGAGAACAGGCTTCAGTCGTGATGAAATTGATGGTGATGGTGGCTGGGATTATTGGATTGCTTTCGTCTTACCGCTGCCAGTGTTCCAACAGAAATCGATGTGTGGATCGGTGGATCCTCCGAAAGACTCATGGTTGGAGTCTCCCGGATATTTTTTGGGGACCCAAGAACAATGGTATGAGTCTGAGCCCCACAACTCCCAAGAGAGACATCCAACTTGGTACCAAAAAATGGGATGACTACCCAAGGGTAAACAAACACAAAAGTTGGAAAACCCATGCTTTCCCGCTTGGAAAATCATCTGCAAGTGGACCCATCCAAACTTGGACCCGTCAGTTGTGGGATTCTTGGGCCTTGGTTGAATAAGTGAATTCCCACTGTTGATGGCTGAGAAATTTTACTTCAATTCCATGTTTCATGGTCATATCACTTTAAATCCCAATTGTTCACGTTCAAACCTACCATCCTTGGTGTGATTCGCAGAAGGACCCCAAAACAAACCACATATTCCTAGTAAAGTTCCTAGTTTTGGGAACTGAGATGATTGAACTATCAAATCAACTCAAGGCTAACCCATGTCAAGATGATTTCCAGATAAAAATTCCTCAATCGCCTCCCGCCCTTGGCCCTCCAGTGACCCCGGTCACCCGGAAAGGACGTTGATGGAATCTGCAGTGAAGGATAGGCCTAGGACACCGCAAAGGCTTTTCTATTATATTCTAAATGAAAAATATGTGTGTTACACTCTTATGTAAATATAAATCACTACATACGTATGTATACATAGTGTAAATAAATAAATAAATATATATATATATGTATATAGTATACTTATAAAGATCCATTCATTTGTGAAGTGTACATATGAACAGTTGTCGAAACAAGGTCTTCGCCAAGCTCCAAAAACCGCTCTTGGGGGGCCCTATCGCTGCACATAGTTTTGTACTTGTGAAATCTTGTGAAGCTAGAGGAACAAATCTGTGTAAGAAAAAAAGCGGACTGGAAAAGGAAAGGAAACCGAAAAATAAACGGAAGGAAGGAAGAGGAAGAAATAAACGTAGAAAACATCATAGAAAATGTCGTTTATTTGTTAAATAACACAATATATCATAAAAACTAAAGTTATTTTATTTATTCAGTATTTTTTATACAAAAAATATATACTGGTTAATGTTGAGGTATCGTTAGAGGTCTCACGAATTTCGCCGAGGTGCTGGATGCATGGCACCCAACGCCGGGGCTGTGCCCATCGTCGCTGACCTTCGGGGGGTCTGGTGGATTTTATGGTGACTTTACGGGATTTTTATGCTTATTTGGTGATTTTATGGGTCCTTGAACTTTTAAACATATGGGATTGCAATGGAAACATCGTAAGACGACTTGGTGACTTGGGGAGTATTTTTCTGACGGTTTTTCAACCATTATAAGGCAGTTGAAATAGTACCACTATCACTATGGGCATACAGCCACTTAGAACTGAAATTGCACCCCCAAGTTGGGTGGTGAAACATCAAAAATGAGGCTAGAACTACCTCGGCATAAAACCATTTGACCTCACCAACGAATACCAGAACCAATTCAGCCAATTAAACGAGAACACGAAACTCGCAATTTTATGGGTTAATTTAGGTATGGTTATCTAAACTATATATTATATATTTGTATAATAGATTGATACTGTGTATGTGTATACTTATACATACATACAAGTGTCAACACACCTGCTTCACTCTGCGGGGATCTCTAAGGACCCCAGCGTCGAGGCCCCATCCATCATGAAACCTGGTCCTGGCAATGGTGCTGTGGCACCTGGCCCAGCAGTTGGTTCACGTTGAAAGCAAAAAAAACTGGCACCCGGCACCCGGATGTGCATCCCAGGCATTAAATGGTTCATTACCTAAATCTGTGGTCCCCTTTACAGGTTCGACTTGATCCATATTCACTTTTTACTGGAGATATCTCAGTTATAGCTGGGGTAGGGATACGATTGTTGTACATCCACTTATAAAAGGAACATCATGGGGACACCATGGGAATATCTGGGGGATACAATGATGGAAAAAAAATGTACATATTAATCAACAACATCGATGGCTGGTTGAACCAGCCCCACGAATTATTTTATGTTAGTTCGTCATTGGGTTTCATCCTCCTGTTCTGTGGTTGAAAACAAGACACACTTAATCCCTTCCTCCTAATACTAAACGTCCCCCTAATACTAAAAACAGGCATCCATCTCCAATTTCCGAAAATTTCAGTTTGGCCAATTTGACTTTTAATTGATCCCCTTTAAAAAACAATTTAAAAATCAACCTACCATTTGTGGGTTCTCCCCCCTAATACTAAAAACTAGTTCACCCCGGGGTGTTTAGTATTAGGGGGGCCTAGTCCCAATCCCTCACTCCAAGCTGCCTAGCTACTCTAGCAATTAGGGGTAAGCTTCTAACTGCCATTTTTGGCAATATTTTAATTGCGTTATATAAGGAAATTTAATTGATTTTGAGATCGTAAAAAATAGTTTTTAGTATTAAGGGTTTTAATTTAGTATTAGGGGTAAGCTTCGAACTGCCATTTTTGGCAATATTTTAATTGCGTTATATAAGGAAATTTAATTGATTTTGAGATCGGAAAAAATAGTTTTTAGTATTAAGGGTTTTAATTTAGTATTAGGGGTAAGCTTCGAACTGCCATTTTTGGCAATATTTTAATTGCGTTATATAAAGAAATTTAATTGATTTTGAGATCGGAAAAAATAGTTTTTAGTATTAAGGGTTTTAATTTAGTATTAGGGGTAAGCTTCGAACTGCCATTTTTGGCAATATTTCAATTGCGTTATATAAGGAAATTTAATTGATTTTGAGATCGGAAAAAATAGTTTTTAGTATTAAGGGTTTTAATTTAGTATTAGGGGTAAGCTTCGAACTGCCATTTTTGGCAATATTTTAATTGCGTTATATAAGGAAATTTAATTGATTTTGAGATCGGAAAAAATAGTTTTTAGTATTAAGGGTTTTAATTTAGTATTAGGGGTAAGCTTCGAACTGCCATTTTTGGCAATATTTTAATTGCGTTATATAAGGAAATTTAATTGATTTTGAGATCGGAAAAAATAGTTTTTAGTATTAAGGGTTTTAATTTAGTATTAGGGGTAAGCTTCGAACTGCCATTTTTGGCAATATTTTAATTGCGTTATATAAGGAAATTTAATTAATTAATTAACATGACTTCGATTTGGTTCCCTAATAATAAATACCCCCCTAATACTAAAAACTACCTGCCGTGTTTTGTATTAGGGGGGGGGGGTTTAGTATTAGGAGGAAGGGATTAGACATATTTGAAATCACCAGCCAGTAAAACATGGAA